GTCTGGGCTGAAATGCAGCTCACTGGATAATTAACTCCATCTTTCCAGTCCACCCTAACTGTTTATTTAGTGTCACCCTGCATTACCATCACTAGCACTTTCCTCTGAACAGGAGGAGCTGTAGGCTTTCACCTCCCAAAAGGAAATTCTTCTTAGCTTAGACAGATGTAGGATTCAGGATGTACATTAGTTGAGGAAGGGGGAAAAAGTTGATTGGAAAGTCAATGGAAGATAAGCACTCTCTCTCTGAGAGTTTCATTTTGTAATCTTACCCTAAGGTGATATTTAAAAAGGGAAGTGCAGCCTTGTGTCTTGAATTCTTAAGAACTGATTCTTGCAACATTTCACTGGGCTCCACTGTTCAGAAAGGTACTTGAAATCCAATGTTGAGTGGAATTATTTGGTGAATCCCCAGGCCAGGGCCTCCGCAGAGGCAGCTGAAACCAGCCCCTTTCCCCCAGGTGACCAAAACACGACATCCTTCCCGTGGCTGCTCCCGCTTCTTGCCCAGCCCCTACTCAGGGTGAAAGGTCCCACAGGACCCTGCCACTAGGCCCTGCCTCCCTGCCTAGATTTCAGGGTCTTCAGGCTCTGCTGCTCTACCACGGTAAACAACATCATCCAGCTCTGTGTTAGACATCATTTTGCTTTGTGAGCCTAGTCCCCGACAGAAATAAACAAATACCTAGCACTAAGGGAGGAGTGGGGGGGGGAGAAGAAGGGAGCCAGAGGAGAGAGAGAAAAGTGAGAGATTGGGGGGGGGGGGGGAGAGGAGAAGAGGAGGAAGTAAAGGTAAGGATTGTAACAGAACGAGAAGCAAGTTAAGCACAGACAGAATAAACGAGTTTTCCCCTTTGAATTGGAGAGAAGAGGGAATAAGATAGAGATGCACCGAGAGAGAGAGAAAAGAATGCTCCACCTTGGAACCCGGGGACCAAAGGTCTGTCTCCTCTCAGTGTTTGTGTCTCCAGAAGACAGGTGGGGGTAGAGGGAGAAAGAGAGAGGGGGGTTAGGAGGAAGCTCAGATTGGCGGAGAATGGAGCTGGGGTGTACATGGTTGGAGGTGTTATCTTCCCTTGGCCTCTCTGGTGTGTCAGTGTGTCCCCGACCTCCGGACAATGTGGAGATGGCATTGTCAGGTGCCGCACGCGGCTGACAGACAGGGTTTCTGGCGTAGGGCTGGCAGCTGGCTCTGTTTGTCCAGGTGTGGCAGGGGACCGGCAGTCTGCTGGCGTCTGGAGCCAGCCCAGCGTTTTCGCACCAAGGAAGCTGGAACCTCGGTTCTCGCGCGCTCCCCACTTCCAGGAGAAGCCCCCCCTCCCCTCTCCCCATGCATAAACACATCAGGGCCACGGACAAATCCTCATTGTTCAGAACGAAGCCGCGGCCGAGGCCGGCCAGCTCCTCTCAGCCCGGCAGAGCAAGGCTGGGAGGTGGGGAGGGAAGAGAGGCGGGGGCCGCGCGGATCCGGTGTCACGTTGCAGATTCCCACTAAAGATAACGAAACGTGATCTATTTTTCAGAACAGCAAGTGGATGGGAAAGAACCTTGACAACACAAAACTCATTTACTAATGGACTGGTTTTGAGTTTCTCTTCTCTAGGCCGGCAAATCGTCCGCCCCATAGCCTTCGGCCTATTCAGACCTCGGGGGAGCAGCATCTCCCGCCCCCAGAAAGGCAGGTGGGCGGCTGCTCCCGCACCGCGTCGCAGCGCCGGCCATCTGAGCCCGCGTTCCCCGGGATCCAGGGCGCTTGGAGTTTCTGACTGCACGGGGAGGGCTGTCACTTCGGTTTGGATTTGGGAATTACCCCCCCCACACACTGTCCCAGAGAGATGGCCTTAATTTATTGCAGAAACTCCTCGCGATTTCTTTTCCTTCCACTTGCACTTGTCTGTAGGTATAGGGGCGAATCCCTACCATAGCTCTTGATGGAGAAGGGATTCCATGAAAGCGGGCTGGGGACCCCAAAGCAACTCGCTCCAAGCCCAGAGAGACATCAGTGGGTCCCTGCTAGACGTGTTGGGCCAAGGCCTTAGATGAACTCAGCCGAGAAAACCCCAGAAGCTCCGGGTGTTTGTGCATTGGCCTTTGGGTTAGGTGCACCCGGCTATTACTTGTCCGGCTTCGGCTCCACGAAGGAAGGCCGACACTGGACATCGGGCGTCCCTAGGGCCGGGCCGCTTCCCCTCGGGAGCCGCGGCGCGGCGAAGGCTGCAGCCAGCAGGCTAGAATTGTTCGTTCCCTTTAAATCCCCGACGCATCTCTTATTTTTCAAGCGTTTTGCATTGACAGCAAAGGTTTTATGTTACAGAACAACTCCATCCTTTCCGTGCGCGATTTAAAATGGATCATTTGGTTTATGTGGTTTGTAAATTCATGTCATTTTACCTCTTTTAGTGGTTTTCAGTGAAAGGTTCCATTTTGGGAAACCTTATATATCCGAGGCAATAATTAACATTTACAACAATTGGTTCCCTTAACCAAGGGATCGAAATAGTCGGTAGACTCCTTGGTACTAAGAGCATAGCACGTTTCCTTTCTAGTTCTGCGAACTGTTGGATTAAACAGAAAAAAACAAAAGTTGGCAGGTTGGACACTGGTGCCTGAGTTCAAACACCTTTCTCCTTTCCTCACGCCCTCAATCACGGCACCCGCACCGTGGTCTTCCTGGTTGTCGCCCAAGTCGGGTATGTCCTGATTCCTTTTGAAGACAGATGAACAGAAGTGGGCAGTATTGGTGTCTAATTGCCGGCACTCTGCTCTCTCTTATCCTTTGTACATTTATACCTGTCCTTGTTTGTTCAAGCTATGTCTCGTTTCCTTATACAAAACTGTTCATTGCAAAGTACCCCAGTACTCAACACACCATTTGTCTTTTAAGGGATATGGCTGTGCTTATAGAGTTTCTCTCCTCCTCCTCCTCCCCACCCCATTTTAATTGTGCATACTTGCTGCAGACTTTAGGGTACGGATTTTTAGAGGCAGTGTAAGCCCCCTTCCCCTAACCCCCATTCCCGGCCCTCACACAGCTGCCTTGTCAATAAGCACTGTTCCAAGCAGAGACATTCCTTTTGGCAGGACACTGCAGCTCCTCAAGACCTCATTGGAAACGTCATGAGGGCTAAAATAAGACAGTGAGGGAAAATTACCAGACACATGGCCTTGGGCTCGCCAGTGCCAGGCTTCCAGTTTAGAAAGTAAGTCATTGGGCATACCATGTGGCTGGGACTCTTTTGAAATAATACACACCCATTAAATGCATTTAAAAAAAAAACTAAGCCTACAGGTAATGAAGTAGCAGCATCTGCTTCCAAGGTCTAATTGCATGGGATATACAGACTCTCAAGGAGGCAGAGAGCTTTGTGTGGGAGCTCAGCAGAGAAGTAGCTTCCTGCCCAGTTGGAATCTTGAGAGAAGCAACTCTGAGGTGGGAATCCTTTATGAGTTTGAAAAGTACCTTGCAGGGGGCAGTGAACTGGGTGCATTATTTTGAAACCATATAAATAATACAAGGGGAAATCCTTCTCCTACTTACAAAGGGCAAAAAGTTCTGTGGTGCTGAGCTCTTTTGCTGATGGAATGAAAACATAAAGAAGACCAGCAGGTTTAAAGAGCCTCGAGTTTGTTGTTCGGTATACACTAAGAGAGCACACTGAAATCAAAAGCATTTTTGAAGTGTACTTACAATTCTGTTTTGAACTTATCTAATCAGAGATAAGTATAGTCATAAAGTCACTCTGCTTCCACCATCTGGCTTCCCTTATCTCCACACATTGTTCTTATCTCCTGCCAGTCTCAGCTACTGACAATAGATTATCTTTGTTTAGAGAGGCTAATTGTTTTCAAAATCTTTTTAATAATTGCTTTGGAACAAGGTGTGCAAATGAGGCTTAAGATAATTACAGTTTTATTTGTTTGTGCAGTTTTTCCAAGTATCCTCCACATACAAACAAAATAGCAGAGGATGGGACTTAAATTGCAGGACATCTCTCATGCCGTAGCAGCAAAATAGGCCAGCATCCTACTCCACACACACACACACACACACACACACACACACACACACACACACACACACACACACCTTTATTTAATCTTCTTGGAGCTGCTGTCCTCCTCTCTTTGAGGGCAGTGTCCCGCTCAGAGCAGGGCAAGGATTATGTTACAACCGGACGGTTATTGGAGCCGGGCACAGTTTTATTCAATTTACACCCCATCCAGCGCCTTTCCTACGGAGGCTCCCACAGCATTTTTTGCTAATGGAAAGTAAAGCTTCTCAGCATTCCTTAGTGGCATAGATAGCATTCAAAACACGCAGTCATGTGGGGAAACTGAGTCCAGCTCAAAGTACTTGCGCCTTTTGGAGGGTGCTGGAGTTTGGGGAGGGAGTGAAGGAGGAGGACATTAGCTGGGCTCCGGGAGCCGAGACAACCCGGAGAGAAGCACAGCCTGCAAGCCCCTAAGCTCTGGTCTCCTCTTGTATTATTTATCGCGCTCCATAAGCTATTCATCAATCCATTATTTATTCATTCCAACATTAAGGTAATTAAATATGAGCTCATCGGCAAAGGGCAAGCCTGCAAGGAACAAGACTATGGAGGGAGAAAAGGGGAATTAGAACGCCTGGAATCCTTGGTTTGTGCCGAGACGCGCGAGGCAAAGTCTGGCCCCCTCTCACCTCCCCACAAGGTGACACTGAAGAGGGGGGCGGCATTGCGCGGTCCTGCCTCCGTCCTCTCTCTCACCCGGCGGATCCCTCCTCCGGACCCCACCTTGCTGCCCAGCCGGTCTAGGTCCTTCTCCTCCCATCACTCCCTACCCCCAACCCCGTAACTTCGCCCTCCCCACGCGGGGCGGCGCGGCTCCGCAGCCCCGCCGGGCGGCGCGCGGGCTGGCCAGCTTCGGATAGGCGCCGCCTGCAGCCAATCAGCGTGCCGGGGACGCTGCGCGCTTTAAGGCAGCTGCCGGGAGAACAGAAACTAAGTTCCCCGGCAACGAGCAGCATCCACCCCGCGGCCGGCGGGAGCTAGCGAGGCCCCGTAAGGCTACGAAGTGCGCCGGCCGCTCGGTGTCTAGCGCGGGCCCCCTTCCTTCTTCTCTTCCTTCTTCCTTTGGCCGCCTACCCTTAAGTTCAGACTTGCTTTTGGGCCTACGCGAAGCCTAGGGAGGGGGTTGGGAGCAGCTGCGCCCCCCTCCCCGTGGCCGACACCCCCTGCTTTTTCCGGCTCTGCTTGCGGCCGCGTGCGCCTGGGCCGTGCGCCCCGGAGGCCCCAGCCATGTCGATGCTGCCGTCGTTTGGTTTCACGCAGGAGCAAGTGGCGTGCGTGTGCGAAGTCCTGCAGCAAGGCGGGAACTTGGAGCGCCTGGGCAGGTTCTTGTGGTCGCTGCCCGCCTGCGACCACCTGCACAAGAACGAGAGCGTGCTCAAGGCCAAGGCAGTGGTCGCCTTCCACCGCGGCAACTTCCGCGAGCTCTACAAGATCCTGGAGAGCCACCAGTTCTCGCCTCACAACCACCCCAAACTACAGCAACTGTGGCTGAAAGCGCACTACGTGGAGGCCGAGAAGCTTCGCGGCCGACCCCTGGGTGCCGTGGGCAAATATCGGGTGCGCCGAAAATTCCCGCTCCCGCGCACCATCTGGGACGGAGAAGAGACCAGCTACTGCTTCAAGGAGAAGTCGCGGGGCGTGCTGCGGGAATGGTACGCGCACAACCCTTACCCCTCACCGCGGGAGAAGCGGGAGCTGGCCGAGGCCACCGGCCTCACCACCACCCAGGTCAGCAATTGGTTTAAGAACCGGAGGCAAAGAGATCGGGCCGCCGAGGCCAAGGAAAGGTACGAGGCGGCGCGCACCCGGAGTCTGGGGTGACCCCGGGAAGTCTTCCTTATCCCTCCATCTCTTTCAACTTCTCCCTCCCACCCCCGCAGGCGTCCGCAACCCAGCTCTCCCCGCAGTCGGGAGCCGGTCTGCCCGGCGGCGCCCAAGCTGGGCGGCACTGCGGAGGAAAGTTCATGAACTCTGAGGTTGCCCGCCAGGGACGGGGCCTCCTTTGCTCCGAGCCGCCCCGCGCGTGGGTTTCTGTGGGGGTGTGAATGTCGGGACGTGTTTTTCATGCCTCCCCTGGCTGGCTGCGCGGGGGTAAAGGAGTGCGCCCGTGGGTGTGCGGGGAGAGGTTCTTGAGATCGCCGGGAAGGGAAGTGCGGACTGGTATCGAGAGGAGAGCGGGTCGGTTTCCTCGGTGGGCTGAAGGGCGAACCTCTCCGCTCTGGCTCCCGGGTTAAAGCTGGCTAGAGACATCCGCCCTGTCCCCCCCGTCCTCGGCCGCTCCCCCCTCCCCCCAACTCTCGTCCAGATCTTCCAGCGCTGCCTCCCGGTAGACTTCGGATGAGAGTTCGCCCGCGTCATTCCACCCTGGCTGGATAAAAGGAATTTTGAAAAGAAATATACAGAAAAGAGAGTTTTGGGGGAGAGGGAGCTGCGTTGACCGCCCCCCCCCCGAGACCCCCAATCTAGGAAGGACTCCGCGCCGAGCTCGCTGGCGCGTGGCCTGTGCACCGCAGCCCGGCCCTGGGCTGTCGGCGCCGCCGCCCTGGGCGACGAAAGGGGCTTCGGAAGCCGGCTTCCCGGGCGCCGGAGCGCCCGAGGCAATGTGTTTTTAACCCGTTCCTGCCCGCCCCTCCTCGCCCAAACATTCTCGGCGACCAGGCCGCAGAGTTTGTGACTGGGACGAGCGCCGCGATCGGCAGTGGCGGAGACCGCGCTGCGAGAAGCCCGGGAGTTTGGGGGAGACCTAAGCGCTGCGCCCCGGCGACGTTTCCTTTGTTCGCGCCCCAGCCAGGGGGGCAGAAGATCGGGCATACTCGTTGCCATCTGGGTGGAAAAATCAAAGCCTCGATGAAGTTCCGCGGAAACGGGCTCTCAGGGGGCGGTCGAGGGGGAGAGCGACTTTGCGGAAAGGGGGAGACCGGCCGGCGCGCGGCGCGGGGTGGACCCCGAGCGCTGCGAAGGCGGAAGTGGGGCGCGCAGCGAAACCCTGGAGTAGCCCGGACCCAGTGCCGGGACTGACGCCCGCGGCGCGGGGGGCGCCTCGCAGCCGGTGCGGTGCGGGGCAGCCGCGTTTTCTCTGCTGGAAAAGAATGGGTTGGCGTGTGAGTGTTGGTGGAGAGTTGGGGAGGGAGGGAGACGGGGTCTGCGAGGCTGCGGGATGAGCTAGTGACTTGGGAACGTAGATCAGTGGTTTCCAGATTGGCCTTTCCTTACCAAAACGGCCGGTCCTAATAAGCCAGGCCGGGAGGACCCACTGGCTGCTGAAATCCGAGCGACTGGCGGCGCTCCCTGTTTACTCAGGTCACTGGGCCGTTCTGGGCACCACTTCCCACGACTTGCCCTCGGTCTCCGAAATCACAAGCTCTGGGCTGGGACAACCGACTTGGTCGTTTCATGGTTTCATCAGCGGCAAAACGGGTCAAGTCAATAGACTTGACTCATCCCAAACATTGGTGCATTGGGGACTATGTTTGTCCCTTGGTCGTCACAGCTTTATCACGAGCAACTATTTCGAAGTTCCAACCGAGAAATATGGTGCTAGTTGATAGATAATTCTAAATGTCACTGAACACAATTAAAATGAACATTTTGTTGTTCTTGTTTGTGTCAAATAACCCCTGCCCCTCTGGCTTGGTGAACTCTGGAGGAGAAAAGGACCTCCTTCCTAGAGGAAGGCTCTGGCTTTAGCTCCCCACTTGTCCAGTGTCCTCACTCCTCTCCTCCCCCATGACCCTTGGGGCTGGGGGGGGGGCAGAGTTCCTCCATTTGGGTCGGTGACAGATTGCACAATGGCCCTTTCCTCCTTCCAGCTCCCCTCCCTTCACCTCACACTTTTTTTTTTTTTTAACCATATGGTGTTGTCCTTTACTTCTTAGGGAGAACACGGAAAACAATAACTCCTCCTCCAACAAGCAGAATCAACTCTCTCCTCTGGAAGGGGGCAAGCCACTTATGTCCAGTTCAGAAGAAGAATTCTCACCTCCCCAAAGTCCAGACCAGAACTCCGTCCTTCTGCTGCAAGGCAATATGGGCCACGCCAGAAGCTCAAACTATTCTCTCCCCGGCCTCCCAGCCTCCCAGCCCAGCCACGGCCTACAGGCCCACCAGCACCAACTCCAGGACTCTCTCCTCGGCCCTCTCACCTCCAGTCTGGTGGACTTGGGTTCCTAAGTGGGAAGGGGCTTGGGCCTTCAAGGGATGGCTGGATCAACAACCAAACTGCAGTAACTAGGGACACTTGTAAATAGAAATCAGGAACAATCCTGCAGCTTGTTTCTTGGGTTCTTTGCATATAAAGGAATGGTGGACTTTCACAAATATCTTTTTCACAATCAACAGTGGTTGGAAGCATAGTCTCCCTTTTCTAACTCTCTCCACTTTTTCATTTTCCCTTCTAGTGAAGAGATCAGGGAAAGAAAAAAAAAACTAACAAAACCACCCAAACGTGCTGGTTCTGAGCAACCCAGGCACCCGCTTCAACAGCTTTTTTCTTTCATTTCTTTCCTTCCTTTTCATTCTTTCTTCCTTTTTTCTTCTCTTTCTTTTTGAATGACACATCAACTGGATTTTAATTATTTCCTTTTAATTTATTTATGGAGAAATATTTTTTTGGGAAGAGGAAAAGGAAATGAAAGAGAGATCAAAATAGTGAAAATAAGAGCTTGGGATGAAACTGGTTGCGTTCTTGAGATAAATAGCAAAAAAACCCTTTTTGATGGGAAGATTAAGTTTACATTTTCATATTTAGTGTTAAATAATTTTATGTAGGTTAAAATAAAAGACCAGTATTAGGGGGAAAAAACAAGTGCCTAAATGTCTTAATACTCTCTATGTGAGACAGTTAGAAGTAGAGATTACCATTAGTAATACAACTATTTTTGTCAAATTTAGAAGGGTTTTTTGGTTGTTGTTTGTTTTCTTGGTTTTTTTTAAATGACAAGCTAAAAATGTACTAATGTGAAACAAAACAAAAGCAAACACTTCCCTGGATGCCATTCTTTCTCATGCCCTCAAAAGTTCATATCTGTAACCTACTCCTGCTAAAGGATTTCTCCTGTTCCCAGTTTCTAGCTTGCAAAAAAAGATGCCGACAAATCTGGCAATTTGTTACTAAAATAGCATGTGTTTTCAGGTTTCTTTTCTATTGTACCTAAACCAGTCTAAATTAAAACTTAGTAGAACACCAGGAGTATGATTCTGTTTCTGAAAGGTGAGTTGTGTATTGCTGTCATTGGGATCCTATTTTTTTTTTCTTTACGTTTTCTTGCTTTTTAAAATATGGTGGTGATGAATTGCTGGGTATTTTAAAGATTATTACCTGATTCAAGAGTAGTGACTAGATTAATATGACAGAAAGAGGTTATTTAGCTTTGGGGGTATTTATTTTTTTTAATTATTTAGATGATATACTTTTGTTTACCACTAGCTCTGCTCCACAGCAATCATATGTTAACTCAGCTCTTTTGTGTTAACATGCTTATGACTGTGAAAGTAAAAGTGATTTATCGGCGTGGGTGGGGGGAAGGAAACTCGAACAAGGATTTAAACATTATGAATTAATCTGTACAAATAGAAAGCAGACCAGCAGGACAGGAGCTCTTTTTCAGTGCTGCCGAGAGTGACCAGAAAAATCCCCGTAATCATGTAGGCTCCATGTTCTTTTCACCTGGGGCAAAATGATGTATCTTGTGTATTTAGCTTTTAAAAATTAGTGAAACAAATGGCATTATTTATTAAAATTCTACTCAGGATAACAGACTTACTTGTGTTTTGTGAAACATTGTTCCCCAGGGAGAGTATTTATTTTCTGACATGACAGTTTCATAATTTTGATTTTCCCCCATCCACAACTGTCACCAGTAATATATTCATTTCTTGTTTACCTTTTCCTATTGTTCTTGTCCTGATTTAGGAGATTGAAATGTATGTGGGAGATTAAGGCCTTATTATGATTTTCTTTAAAAACAAAACCCCACTGTCAAAGTGTTTTGAGTTCAAGTGAGAAATGGTCACTGTACTTTACAATCACTTTTACTTATAAGTTCATTCTCTTCCCCCACCCCCCTTAGTGATGGACAGATGTGCATAGCAGCTCTAAGACCATGATTGGGGTTGGGAGCTCAGGGTCCCAATCTCCCTTGTTAGTGTTTTGGATCATTAAGTCGGTGTTTATTTAAGCCACTAGGGTGTTTATTCTCCACGTCTTGGGCCACGGAGAAATGCCACCCTCTGCAGGAGGGGCTCTCACAGGGAATCTCCATACATTCTTCACATTCACTCCCCAAAGCAAACACGCTGCACAAAGATAGCTTTCAATGACCCCGACAGGCTTCAAAAGACTCTGAGGAAATCTCTCTGGAAAATAAGGAAGGGCCAATTACTTTAATTTCTTACGTGTCCCTCTCTTCCTACTCCGGTGACTTAGTCCCCCCCCCCACTCCCCGCCCCACCCCCACCTCTCTCTTCCAGCTCTGCTTGGCAAAATTTTAGACACTGAAAGTTCTGTCTCCCCGGTGGCGCAGTCAGCTCACTTCCTGAGCTCCCATGGTTGGTGAATTTTGGAAATGTCTGCAGGTCTGGTGCGGAGCAGAGAAGGCCTGTCCTGTAAAAGCCTCCGCGATTACTGCTTGTAAACTCGTTAAAAGGACAATTTTCTGTCACAGCCATAAACTCTTTGTAAAAATCCTTGGCACTCGGTCCAGAGTGCGCATATTCCAGATGTGTTCAATAAGAAATTGCACAATGTGTCTCTTTCCTCCGTCCTCGGCTGGGTTTGCCTAAAACAGGCATAAGCGAGAGGAGGCGAGAAAGCTGGACATTGCTCAGAGTTTTCTTGGCAATCATTTTAGAGCGATCATTAAGGGAACTAACCATATTTTTTTTTCCCTCGAGGAAATCTTCGAGAACCAGCTGTTCAGGGATTTCCAATTTACCTTCGCAGCGTCAACGTTTAACTGAATCAGGAGTCACTTTTCGTTTCTCCCCTACAGATTTCAGATTTCGTAATGATAGCCAAAAACAATGAGTTACGGATCAGAGCTTTTAGGACGAAACCTTGCAGCATTTTGCCAAGGTGAAAAAAAAATACTCGGTTAATTTTTTTTTTTAATATCTTAAATCGCAAGACAGGGTTGCTGGATCTTCTTCCTTGAACCTCTTGGTTGAGAACGAAGGTTCCTAATTTCTCAGGGACCAGGGGTTTGGCCGCTTGATTTTAGCTTAGCAGGCAAGGACTCAAAAACCTGGTAAACTGCAAGATGGGGGAAAAGACACCACTGGGCGTGGGCACCCGAACTCGAACCTATTCTCTGGGCAAGGACAGCTTGGAGCTGGCTCGCAGTGCAGTGGAAGCTTCCAGGAATTCTCAGTGGGACTTCGCCATTCTGGGCTAGCTTTGAGTTGGCTGAACCTGGATCCAGGTTCGGCTGCTTTCCCCGGCGTGCTGCCGGCCAGCCGAGCACCTGGCACCGATGCGCACAGGGCGGCCTTCCCCTGCTTCCCCCCCTGCCCGCCTCCCTGAGGCGGAGGTGGCTGAGCCCGCAGGAGCTTCCCTCATCTTCGGCCAAATCTACAAGCAGAACCTCACATCGGAGATGCAGAGGCTCAGATCCAGTGAGTCTTCAGACGCAGAGACCTGGGGGAGGCCTCCCGTGGTGGTGTCTCCATTCTCTTCTCTGGGACTTGGTCGGTACACAGATAATCAATCTTATACATCTCAGGACTCAGATCATAGCTCGGGTCTGATGGCACCTCCTGTCGAGTTCCTGAGAGCAAAGATTGCCAGCCTGGCCTCCAAGGAGAAGGCCAGGGGGACATCCGCCGCTGCCGTTGTCATCTTGGGTGCCTCAGGGCAGCTTCCAAACCCAAATCGCCTTCTGAAAGTCAGGGATCAGGAAGGCTAAGCTCTAGCAGTGCTTGTGTGTGCACAGGACTAGTGACTGTGGGGTTGGACTAGGCCCTGAAGTGGAGGGATGAAGCGGTGTGAGCACTGCTTAGCAACTTATGGCCCCTCCGATGCGCACCTGGGACTTGGGTACCTGGCTTTGGACCCAGACCGCCTGGACCAGGCCTTGGAGTGAGGCTTCGGCTTCAGCTTCAGCGTGACTTAGGCCCTGCTGTTTCCCCCTGCCTGACACGGTCTCTTCCTCGGCTTTGGCTCTCCCAACCACCCGCTCTGTCCAAGAGTGCCAGCCCAGAAAGGAGAACCCTATCTTGAGTTTATACCTCCCAGGCCTGGACCGTGGCCTCTAGTCTCCGATGGAGCCGGAGCTCTGCTTCCTTGGCATGGGGAAGTTTTTTCCCACCTTGCCTGCGACCCTGGAGCGAACAATGACGTTGTCTCTATGTCCAGCCCAGGATCCCAGGAGAAAGTCAGCCCTGAACCCCACAGCACATTTCAGCTCAGGTGGTTTTTGGGAGGAGGGGTGGGGGAGGGGGAGGTGGGGTGGGGTAGGTGGTGGCATTGGTAAGGATGGGTGGTTCAGAGTTGACATGGCTGCTGGTAGCTCACACACACTCTTTCTTCTGAGCAATTCCCAGAAGACTACTCTTAAATAAGACACCCCGACTATCTGCTTCAGCTGCCCAAAGCCAGAGGAATTAGCCTCGGTGCCCACTTTGCCCCCTAGGAACAGTTCTCACTAAGGCTTTCCCTTAGGCTACAAGCATGCTCTCTTTACCCTAGCCAGGTGGTCTCTGGAAGCCCTCAAGGTCAAAGAAACCTTTTTATCCTTCTGATTAGATCCAAAAACTCTACCGGGGAAAACCTCTAAAGGGGATGGGTTAAATAAGAGGTGGATGATCCAGCTAGATGAAAAAAAAAAATCAAAATCGTGTGTGTGTGTGTGGGGGGGAGGGTGTTTTTGTCTACCCAGAAAAAGTGCTTCCCTGGAAAAGCCTTGTTTCCTCTCGTGTTTTAAACTCAGGACTCAGGACTCACACACGTGCGCGGACACACACACACACACACACACACACACACACACACACA